TTTTTGAGAATAAAGTGAAATAATTTTGCAAAAAGCCTTATATATTGCAGATTCACATTAAATATTAGCTTATTTTCCCTTCTTCCCTATCACTCTGATTATCTTGTGGAATTTTTTTTTTTTAAATAGTTCTTCTTGATCAAGTTCTATTTCAGAATATTGGGAGGAATCCATTAAAGATATTTAATCTGTTCTGGATTTATATAGCTACAATGTGAAATAGCTAAAGAGAGCCCAGTAATTGTGTTTTCCAATATGTTCTTATTTTATTGCCTTTCAAATTCTGAATTGGTTACTAGAGTCTGAATGTGTCAAGCTACTAAACAGCTTGTGGATACAGGAGGAAGTGAACTTGTCTTTCATTTGGGGAGCAGAGGGTAGGTGTCATTTCTCCAGTGTCTAGTGGGAAAACTTCCATTTGCCAAGTACATGAAACTAACATGATCTCTCATCTTTCATTAACATGAAGAATTTATTGTGTAGTTCAGATAATTTCAACAAAACTATTATATCTTCAAACCTGGGTTCGATGGATAATAGTTAAGGAGTGCATGAACTTGGGTGGGAAAAGAAATCACATTGTTATTTTCATCAACCTCTAATAGAAATTTAGTTTCTTTTTGGTATACGTGTGGGCCATGAGTCACAGTAATATTGCCTATATGTGGACTTTATCACCAGTGAAAATCACAGATATTTTCATATCATATTTCAGTTGTAGCAGATATCACAAAGCATCTTTTATGTTCATCATTACTCTGAAATATGGCAGTTACTGAGCTGCCAGTAGATACTGTTACTGAAAACTTTTTTTTTTTTTTTTTGAGACTCTTGTTACCCAGGCTCGAGTGCAATGGCATGATCTTGGCTCACCGCAACCTCCGCCTCCTGGGTTCAGGCAATTCTCCTGCCTCAGCTTCCTGAGTAGCTGGGATTACAGGCACACACCACCATGCCCAGCTAATTTTTAGTATTTTTAGTAGAGACGGGGTTTCACCATGTTGACCAGGATGGTCTCGATCTCTTGACCTTGTGATCCACCCGCCTCGGCCTCCCAAAGTGCTGGGATTACAGGCTTGAGCCACCGCGCCCGGCCTGAAAACTTTTTTGAAAAGAGCACTTACATTACTGTATCAGAAATGGAAAAAATATTTCAACAACCCTATTTCCTTTTTTTTTTTTTGGCAGATCTGGCTCTGTCACCCAGGCTGGAGTGCAGTGGCACCATCTTGGCTCACTGCAGCCTGGACTTCCTGGGCTCAGGTGATCCTCCCACCCCAGCCTCCTGAGTAGCTAAAATGACAGGTGTGCTCTATCATGCCCAGCTAATTTTGGTATTTTTTATAGAGACGAGTTTTGCCATTTTGCCCAGGGTGGTCTTGCACTCCTGAACTCAAAATATCCTCTGCCTGGGGCAAAGACATGTAAGCAACCTAGATGCCCACTAGCAGTGAAGTGGATAAGGAAAATGTGCTACAAATAGACAATGGAATACTATGCAGCCATAAAAAGAATGAAATAATGTCCTTTTTAGCAACATGGGTGCAGCTGGAGGCCTTATACTAAGCAAATTAGCACAGGAACAGAAAACCAAATACCACACGTTCTCACTTACAAATGGGAGCTAAATGTTGAGTACACATGGCCACGAAGAAGGAAACAATAGACTCTGGGGCCTACTTGAGGGTGGAGGGTGGGAAGAGAGGGTAAGGACTGAAAAACTACCGATAGGATATGAGGCTGATTACCTGGGTGACAAAATTATCTACACGCAAAACCCCTTTGACCCGCAATTTACCTGCACGTGTACCTCTTGAGCCTAAAATAAAAGTTGGAAAGAAAAAAAAAGCATGTGCCATAAAATTGAAGTTTTATGACAGTGCCCTGGCAAGTGGCACTCTGTGGAGTTGTGCCAGAGGCACCAGAAGCCACCACGCACAGCCCCGGCCCTCACCGCTCCCTTCCAGGCCATGTGAGACAGCCTGTCCTGCCTCTGTTTCTTTTGAGTTCATTCCGTTCTTTCTCCTTACAGTCCTGAACCGGACTAGGTCCTGCTCCAATTACCCTTTTCATTTTTAGACTCCGTTAACACCTCTGCCTCCTCCTTGGTGGTCATGACATTCTGCCCCGGACCTACAGATACCCCCAGCAGTTCTATCCTGAGGAACGCGGTCGTGAGCTGTCATTCTTGCCCCACTCAACTCTCCTTCTTAACCCTCCTTCCTGGCCATCGTCTCACCACTGCTCCTTCCTGGCCTGGGTAGAAATGGCATCTTCGGGTGGGGTTTTGCAGTGGAGGGTGCAGTGAGCTGAGATCGCACCACTGCACTCCAGCCTGGGTGACAGAGACAGAGTGAGACTCTGTCTCAAAAAAAAAAAAAAAAAAAAAAAAAAAAAAAATATATATATATATATATATATATATATATATATGTATATCTATATATAGGCACACACACACACACATATATATCAGATCTCTAGTGCAGAGTCGCATATCTGTATGGGAGCTCCAATAAATTGGAAGGCAGAGGTTAAGTGTTCATTAGGCAGCTACATCTACTAGGAGCTTTCTTTGTTATAAGGGGTGGTGCCCACCAGGGGAAGGTCCCACGGGCATTTCCCACATGTAACCTAACCCTGTATGTGCTGGAAATTGAAAGTGGGAAAACAGAATGAAAGAAGAGGAGAACGCATGCCTCCTGGGAGGGTGGAGGAAGCTGCCACATCAGAGGCATGGACTTCTCATCAGAGAGGAGAGAGTTCTGCTGAGTCTTCAGGTGGTGCCCTGAAAACGAAGACTTTCAGGTGAGAGTTACATTGGTGACATTGACTGACGTAGTAAACAGTTCTTGCAGACACCTTTATTGCACCTGCAAAAGCAAGCCTCACACGCTTATTTCTCAAAGCCAAAGGCACTTGAAAGGGCCAGGCACCCCCTACCCCGTAGGCTGAATAATGCTCCCCTCAAGGGCATGCCCGTCCAACTCCCCATGAACCCATTAATATGTGACTTTACATGGCCAAAGGGACTTTGCAAACCTGGTTAAATGAAGGATTTGGGTGGGGGTGGGGGTGGAGATGGCCCTGATGATTTGGGTGGGCTTGATGTAACCATAAAGGTCCTTCTAACAGGGAGGCAGGAGAGAAGAGTGATTCCGGAACGGATCGATCACGAGCCAGGAAACGCAGGCGTCCTCTGGAGGCAGGCCCGTGCTGCGGACACCATTTTTTGTTTTGTTTTTGTTTGTTTGTTTGTTTTTTGAGTTTCACTCCACGGCCCAGGCTGGAGTGTGGCAGCGCTATCGAGGCTCAAGGTAACCTTCGCCTCCCGGGTTCAAGCGATTGTCGTGCCTCAGCCTCCCGCGTAGCTGGGACCACAGGTGTGTGCCACCACACCCAGCTACTTGCGAGGCTGAGGCATGAGACCATGGGACTGGGTCTCACCATGTTGGCCAAGCTGGTCTCAAAGTTTGGACCTCGAGTGATCCACCTGCCTCAGCCTCCCAAAGCGCTGGGATTTTAGGAATAAGCCACTGTGCCTGGTCTCCTGCTGACACCTTGACTGTAGGCTTCTGACCTCCAGAATGGGAAGAAAATACATTTTAAGCCACCCAGATTGTGGTAATGTGTTACAGCGGCAAGAGGAAACGAACATAGACTGGGCGCGGTGGCTCATGCCTGTAATCCCAGCACTTTGGGAGGCTGAGGCAGGAGACTCACTTGAGGCTGGGAGTTAGAGACCAGCCTGGCCAATGTGGCAAAACCCTCATCCCCCACCTTCCCCACCCCACCTTCCCCATCCCCCACCTTCCCCACCCCCACCTTCCCCATCCCCACACTCCCCATCCCCCACCTTCCCCATCCCCCACCTTCCCCATCCCCCACCTTCCCCATCCCCCACCTTCCCCACCCCCACCTTCCCCATCCCCCACCTTCCCCATCCCCCACCTTCCCCACCGCTTGCTGCTTGGTTTTTCCCTGTGACCTTTATCACCACCTGCCTCACTTGTTTGTTTATTGTCTGGGAGGACAGGAATTTTTCTTTTGTGCTGTTTTACTGCCAGAAGCCGGATCTGGGCTTGGTACTTTGTAGGTGCTCAGCAAACCCCTGTGGAGTGAGAGGCTGAATAGACAGGCTTTGTCCTCTTTCTTGCAAATCCAGGAGACTGTGCTTGCTTACCTTTCCAGGTCAGGTCAGAGGCTGATGTCACCAATGGAAATCCTCCCTAATGACCAAGTGCCACATCCAGGGTCGCAACAGCAATATCTGCCGTGTCTCCCACCTCCGGGCTCAGGTGAGAGGGCAGTCGTTCTCACACAGGGGAGATTTTACCTCCCAGAAGATGTGGCCATAGCTGGAAACATTTTTGTTGTGCCCACTGAGGAAGGAGCAGGGCTGGCGCTGGAACGCCATAGATAAGAGGCCAGGGTTATTGGCAAACATCCCCGCAATGCACAGACTCATGCAGTCCAGTGAACCGGCAGTACGGAGGTTGAGAAACCCTGCATTCGCAACGCTTGGATTTGAATCCTGGCTCTGCCAAATGCCAGCATTCTGATCGTGAGCAAGTTATGTGCACTCAGCCTCAGTTTCCAAATCTGTCAAGTGGGGATAATACTAGGACGCCCCACTCTGTAGGATTGTTGGTTGTGGCAAGCGCAGCTGGAGTGGAATCAGGGAGTGGGGGGATGAGGTCCGAAGGCTGATGGGCGGAATCGTGTTTGTGATGTCCATTGTGACTTGGTGGCTTACCCAAGGCTAGTTGTAGTTAGCAGTGCCAGGTTGTAAGGTGGGACTCTAGAACTTTATTTTCTGGCTGGATCGGCTGGATGGGCCACTTTCTCCTCTGCATGGGCCCTGTCCTAGAACCATGTCCTCACCTGAGCCTGTGACTCACCTGGGCTGGGCCAGCGTTTGTGGGAGGTAGGGGAGGGCAGGTGTGACTTATAAGTGAAGATCTGCCGGCTCGGAACCGTGTCCTGAAGTGTCTGTGCAGTGCACGGCTTCTTCTCAGCCCTCTCCGAGCGGGAAGCAGCATGTGGACCCTGGCCCTGATCTTCCTCGCCGTAGCCTGCTTGTTCTCTCTGGGGGTCACTCTGTGGGTCATTTGCAGCCATTTTTTCATTATGCACATCCCTGCAGCGGTTGGCCACCCTGTGAAACTGAGAGTCTTCCATTGCATATTCCAGCTGCTGGTGACATGGGTGAGTTTTGTGTTTCATGTGTCCCCTCCAGCTGAGTATTGAAGGGGGCAGGAGAAAGCACACGCCAGGAGCTTCTAGCTGAATGAACATCAATATCATGGGACCCACAGTGATGGCTGATCACCCCTTCTCAAACCTGCGTTATTACGTGGTTCTTAGCCTCTTTTGGTGTTTATGAAGCTGGCTGGGCTAATATCCACAAAATTCAAAGAATGATCTGCTTTCTCAGTTCACAGAAGGAAAAAACAAGTCTGGTTCTATCCACCTGCATGTCTCCCGTTTGACTTTCTTTCTTTTTTTCTTTCTTTTTTAATAGACACAGGATTTCTCCATGTTGGTCAGTCTGGTCTCGAACTTCCCAACCTCAGGTGATCCGCCTGCCTCGGCCTCCTGAAGTTCTAGGATTACAGGCGTGAGCCACCTCTTCCAGCCTGACTTTCTTTTTTGTGTTAGTTTGTTTTATTTTTAAACGGAGGTAGAACATTCATATAAAATGTACCATTTTTGCTATTTTTAAGTGTACAGTTCAGTGGTAATAAATGTGTCTGTATTATTAGCAGCACTCACCACTCTCAGAAGCTGCGAAGACAGGAATGAGTTTTCCTGAATCTCTGAGCCCCAGTTGCTATTTACCTGCTAGCTAGAGCCAGCAAGCCACAAAATAAACGGGTAGCAGATGAGTACATTAGTGCCGGTGAGCAAAACTACAGATTATGACTTTAAGAATATATTGTTGCTTTTGAGAGATAGAAAGCTGCCTAGGTAATATAATTTGATGCTGCTCCTGTTGTAATTTATTAAAATACCTGTAAATGGAACTGTGTAGGTATTGCCAATATGGATTTCTTGTACTTTTTCAGAGGGTTGACAGAAATTGAATATACAAAATATTTCTTGTAAGTTTCTTTCTTTTTTTTTTTTTTTTGAGACGGAGTTTCGCTCCTGTTACCCAGGCTGGAGTGCAATGGCGCGATCTCGGCTCACCGCAACCTCCGCCCCCTGGGTTCAGGCAATTCTCCTGCCTCAGCCTCCTGGGTAGCTGGGATTACAGGCACGTGCCACCATGCCCAGCTAATTTTTTGTATTTTTAGTAGAGACGGGGTTTCACTATGTTGACCAGGATGGTCTCGATCTCTTGACCTCGTGATCCACCCGCCTCGGCCTCCCAAAGTGCTGGGATTACAGGCTTGAGCCACCGCGCCCGGCCTCTTGTAAGTTTCTTAGAAAATGAAAAGCAATTTCCGGGGCCTCTTCTCCAGAGACACCTTAGATGTCTCTTCTATACTATTCAAAAGAATGTAGGGTCTGTTGGGGGATGGGGAGCTAGGGGAGGGGCAGCATGGGGTGGGGAGGTTGGGGAGGGATAACATTGGGAGAAATGCCTGATGTAGGTGACAGGGGTGATGGAGGCAGCAAACCACCATGGCATGTGTGTACCTATGCAACAATCCTGCAAGATCTGCACATGTACCCAAGAATTTAAAGTACAATAAAAAAAAAAAAAAAAAAAAAAAGAATGTAGCTATTATCTAAAAGAGAAGAGCCCGGGAGCCCGAGGCTTCTGATCTCCAGAGTCAGCTTTTATCAGATGTAGTGATTGGCTCCCAGGTGTTCCTGGCCTTGACGCTCATATTCTGTAGTCCAGGGTCTCAAATACAGTGACTTGATTTCCTCTTCTGCAAAGTGGGGAGAATTGCCCCTACTTCACAGCGTTTTGTGGGGACTTCGTGAATCACCCTTTCCGAAGGGCGATGCCTGGCACAGAGGGAGCTGTTCGTAAATATTAGCCATGGTTACTCTCTGTTGACTTATTGCGCCCTGCACCAATTCTGGGCTCCGGGGTCAATGACAGGTGAGAGAGAGAACGTCCCCCTAGGTCTGCCCTTAGGGAGCTCGTAGGCTCTAGGCAGTGGGGGCGGGAATCGGTCCATAAAGGAGCAAACCTACAAGCGAACAAGTGGCAGATAAACAGCTTCCCAAAGTGGAGAACAACAGCAGGAGGAGAGCTGCAGGAAAATCCACTCCCACAGCTGGTGCTGTGGACACGTGGGCCAAAACCCATCAGGTGAGCCCAGCAGGGCTTCTCACCTAGGGCCCCCTGAGCCCCCCTGGGTCACGGAATACAAGGGGCTCGTGGATTTGGATGGGGTCAAAATTACCCCATTTTCACAGCTGACCTCCAATCGAAATTCCTTCCACGAGGACTGAAGGCAGCAAACCACAGTCCTGAAAGCCAGACCACGACTTTGTCAGAGCTATTTGCATAGCCTATTAGAGACCGTGAAAACGCATGTATTCTCCTCTTTCCTTTGAAACTAGGGTACCATCAGGCAGCAGCTAGATCTTATTACTTGATGTGCTGATAAGGAAATACCTATATTATCACATCATACACTTTAATATTTTAGTAAGTATACTCGAAACTGCTTTCCTTTATAATCCCACATATTTATTTTATGTATTTAAAAATGTTCTGGGCTGGGTGTTGTGGCTCACACCTGTAATCCAAGCACTTTGGGAGGCTGAGACAGGAGGATCGTTTGAGTCCAAGAGTTTGAGACCAGCTTGGGTGACACAGTGGGGCCTCCATTGCTCTAAAAAAAAAAAAAGGTCTGAAATGAGTCCCTTTACCCATGATCAAAACGGCTGTGACACAGAAAAGGATTATGAAACACTGGAAGGCTACCCAGAGAGACAGCCTGCTTTATTTGCATATTTTTAACTCTTTTTTTTTTTTTGACCTGGAGTTTTGCTCTTGTTGCCTGCCGAGGCTGGAGAGCAGTGGTGCAATCTCAGCTTACTGCAACCTCTGCCTCCCGGGTTCAAGAGATTCTCCTGCCCCAGCCTCTCAAGTAGCTGGGATTACAGGTGCCTGCTACCATGCCTAGCTAGTTTTTGTATTTTTAGTAGAGACGGGGTTTCACCGTGTTGGCCAGGCTGGTCTCAAACTCCTGACCTCAAGTGATCCACCCGCCTTGGCCTCCCAATGTGGGGATTACAGGCACGAGTCACCTTGCCTGGCTGTATTTTTAACTCTTTGTGCAAACTTTGACATATGCCAAACGGGAGCAGAGTGCCCACCCTCCAGCGCTGCCGTCGCTGACTCCTGGCCCATCTCCCTTCCCTGCGTCCCTAACTTTCCCCTCATTTCCATTTATTTAAGGAGCCAATCTTGGACATCGTATTATTTTATCCTCAAATTCTTCAGTAGGTATTTTCAAAAGATAGAAACTTCCCCTTCCTGTTTTTAACAAACATACCCACACCTTAGTTAGCTACACATGCGTGGCCAGATTGGCTGGGACAGCACAGGAAGGCCTCCCTGGAAACGTGTCACGCCAGGGCGAGGTGGAGCAGCGCCTCGTGGCAGAGGGCGGTGTTGCAGATAGAGGGACCATCGGGGTGTCCAGAAGCCTGGCTCGCAGTGGCTGCAGTGTAAGGCGTCAGGAGAGTGGGTTGAGCAGGGCTGGCTGGTGCTGTGGACACATGGGCCTGCGTGGGAGTGGATTTTCCTGCAGGTGTCCTGAGAGCAGGGAGGGGTTGAGCAGGGCTGTGTCCAGTCTAACTGCTGTTTCCTCAAACTCCTTTCGCCACTTGTGAAGGGCAGGTATGAGGGCCAGGCTCCAGATGGTCTATGCAGAAACCCATCTCAACTCATTTCTTCTTCTGTTTCCAACAGGGGATGATTTTTGAGAAGCTCAGAATCTGTTCTATGCCCCAATTTGTCTGTTTCATGCAAGATCTGCAGCTGCTGAAGTATGATCCTGACGTTGTGGTTACAGATTTACACTTTGGGACAATCCCTGTGAAGCTGTACCAGCCCAAGGCATCCAGCTGCACCCTGAAGCCTGGTATCGTGTACTACCACGGTGGCGGGGGTGCCGCAGGGAGCTTGAGTAAGAACCCTTTTCTCAGACCTCCCAAATGGTGATGGCACCCCTTAACATAACTTGAAAGGATGGGATCTTCCTGGGACATAACGTTTGCTATCATGACGAGGGAACACCAGGGCAGTTCATGGTTTGCAGGTCATTCAGGGGAAAAAATATGGACTATATTGCCCTCTTATACATCTCCTTATTTACATAAATGTAATCTTTAGTGAAATTAACAATACTGTAATATAAGGAAGGAAACTGTAAGGTGATGATCCCGAAATGTACCCCTATCTGCATTTGTATGTGTACATATGTATATACATACATACATATATATATATATATATATATATCACTACCTTATCATTACCACCTCTATTTAGTTGGAGATAAGGACATCTTAAATGAAGAGAATTAAAACACAGCATTTTGTTTCACATCAGGTTTTGCTAAGACAAATTCTGGTACAAACAGGAAGATTTGAGAAAAACCAATGAGAGGAAAAAGTCACAATTGAGACAATTTTACTATCTTAATTGTTACCCCTGGGGAATTAGGGTGGGGGGACACTTTGATTTGCTTTCAGCAGTGCTTTCTAATCTGTGGAATGCCAGGGTCCCAGTGTGGCAGCCTTTGAGAATAAGGGGTTTAATGCAATGGAGATGTTAGTTCGGTCTGTATGAGAATGATGGTAACAGCTAATATTTATTAATCAATATTTATTAATAGGACTAATTACATGCAGGCACTGTGGGAACCCTGCATGTGGATGATCTCATTCCTACTCCAGCACTCTATGAGTTACATATTATCATCATCCCAGCTCACAGAAGAGGAAATTTCGAGGCACTATGTTAGCTCCAGCTAGAAGGAGGCAAAGCCGAGGTTCGAACTCCAGTCTGTCTGAATCCAGAGCTCACACCCTAAGCCACCGCCCTCTGCAGTCAAACAGCTTTGCAGATATTTTTAATGACTTGTAGGATGGATCAGAGGGTGGGTATCTTAGAGAAAGTTGCTCAGGCAGTGTCACGGAGAAGAATCAGTGAGAAGCTTGACCGGAAGTTTGCCGGAGTAGGGGAAAACCTAGTCAGCGTCAGCCCAAGTGCTGTGTGTGTAGGAAGATGACAGTGACAATGGCTGGCAAAGGAAGCCTTCCTAGTGAATGTCAAACACCATTTATTTTCTAGAAACCCACCATGGCATATGCTCTCGTTTGTGCAAGGAGAGTGACTCTGTGGTTCTGGCAGTTGGGTGAGTAAAGGGGAGACGCCAGGGAGCCAGCCGGGAGCAAGGCTCTGATGTGGAGAGATGGGGTGGGAAATAGAAATGAGGGTGAGGGGTGGGAGCAGATGGGAGCTGGAGGAAGCCCAGAGGAGGGGATGGGCTGAGAGAAGCCATTGAAGAGAGAAAGAGAGGTGGCTGGGTGCAGTGGCTCACGCCTGTAATCCCAGCACTTTGGGAGGCCACGGCGAGTGGAATGCTTGAGCCCAGGAGTTCAGACCAGCCTGGGCAACATAGTGAAATTTCATTTTTACAAAAAATACAAAAATTAGCCAGGTGTGGTGGCATACACCAGTAGTCCCAGCTACTTGGGAGGCCGAAGTCGGAGAAGCACCTGAGCCTGGGAGGTTGCAGTGAGAGAACCTGATTGCGCCACGACACTCAGCCTGCGTGACAGACAGGAACCTGTCTTAAAACAAACAAAACACAACAACAAAAGAAAAAGAAGTGAGAGAAAATAAGGGGAGATGAAGAGAGAGGGAGAGACAAACAATGGGAACCCTTCCTCTGTGCATGTGGGCCTTGGGTTTATTTAAACAGGCGTTTTGTGCATTTGGAAGCTGGGTAGGAAGGAAGTGGCCTTTTTTAAGCAGATCAGGTGCAGAGTTTCACTGCAGGAACACTTGGGTGGCACAGCTCTTCTTTGAGTAAAAGAGCCCTGCCCCTCCCTCTGCTAAATGCCAGTAGTACCCCACACCATCACTCACCCCCAAATGCTGCCACATCCACTTCCCAGTGTTCCCAAAAGGGAGGTCCCCCGGGCTGAGACCCACTAGAGAAAGTGAGAAAAACAAAAACAAACCCATTGTCTGTCCGAACGTGTCTCTGACAGTCACCCACCCCTCCTGGAGCCTCAAAGAGGGCATGGTGGGCACTGGGCCTCTGTCCTGCCACGTGATGCAGCATCACGCAGGTGCTTCCTCCTGATAAGTTTCCCTGTAGTTTCATTTAAAGGTACACATTCAAAAGAAATGTCTGTTCTAGCTGGGTGCGGTGGCTCACGCCTGTAATCCCAGCACTTTAGGAGGCTAAAGCAGGTGGATCACCTGTGGTCAGGAGTTTGAGACCAGCCTGGCCGACAAGGAGAAACCCCATCTCTACTAAAAATAAAAAAAAAAAAATTTAGCTGGGTGTTGTGGCTGTCACCTGGAATCCCAGCTACTCGGGAGGTTGAGGCAAGAGAATTGCTTAAACCTGAGAGTCGGAGGTTGCGGTAAGCCAAGATTGTGACATTGCACTCCAGCTCGGGAGACAGAGTGGGACTCTGTCTCAAAAAAAAAAAAAAAAAAAAAAAAAAAAAGAAAGTAAAAGAAATATCAGTTGTCTGCATCTCAGTTGGGGTACATCTCCTAGCTTTCCTGTGGCATAGCTATCTGAGGAGAGTGAAAAACGAAGAGATGAAGCTGGTGCAGTGGCTCACACCTGTAATCCCAACACTTTTGGAGGTCAAGGTGGGTGGATCACTTGATGCCAGGAGTCTGAGGCCAGCCAGGCCAGCATGGTGAAAGCCCGTCTCTACAAAAAATGTGAAAATTAGCCAGGCATGGTGGCATGTGCCTGTAATCCTGGCTACTCAGGAGGCTGAGGCAGGAGAATCGCTTGAACCTGGGAGGCAGAAGTTGCAGAGCCAAAATGGTGCCACTGGACTCCAACAACCTAGGTGACAGAGTGAGACTCCATCTCAAAAAAAAAGTGAAGAGATGAAATGAGAGGAGACCTGGCTAAACCCTGACTTTATAGTTCTCAGCTCCCAGGGAGTTTCTACCGTGGGATATTGCTGGACACCTTATCGTTCTGGTTGTGCTAAACCAAGAGATCGTCGGTAAAACATGCCAGCAAGTCTCTGCCAGAAAGTTATTTTCTAAATCCAAGCTAGACAGAATTTTGGAGTTAAGGGTATTGTTCTCCCGGAATACCTATTGCCAGGCGGCCTGAAATGGGGGTATGGAATGGAAACGGCTGGTGGAATATTTATTTGTTGGTCCCATAGAGTGTTTCTTTTTCTTTCTTTCTTTCTTTCTTTTTTTTTTTGACGGGGGAGGGGGTGGTGGTGGAGTCTCATTCTGTTGCCCAGGCTGGAGTGCGGTGGTGTGATCTTGGCTTACTGCAACCTCTGCCTCCCGGGATCAAGCAATTCTCCTGCCTCAATCTCCCAAGTAGCTGGGACTACAGGCACGCACCACCATGCCCAGCTAATTTTGTAATTTTAGTAGAGACGGAGTTTTACCATGTTGGTCAGGCTGGTCTTGAACTCCTGATCCATGCTCCTTGGCCTCCCACAGTGCTGGGATTACAGGCGTGAGCCACTGCGCCCGGCCTCTTTTTCTTTTTATAAATTTGTGGCCAGCATTTAAAAAGAGTGAACTTTCTCACAAAATCTGGATTTCCGGAATCTGTTAGCAATACCAGGTAGGCAGGGCAGCGATGGTGTTGAGTATGCATAGCTCATTTGGAAGAGTGCTGTATATCTCTGGCCTCTGGTGGTACAGTCAGTCCTCAGTGCTGTCGATAGGTTGTTAGAACTGTGACTTGATGAAGTTAAACCAGTTTTACCTATTAATTTACCTAGGCTAATTGATATAAATAAGAGTTAAGTGCTGATGGTATAATTCTGGTCACAAAAACACCAGCAAACTTACTTAAATTTTTTAAAATTTACTTTACTACTTTTATATTTTATAATTTTTTTTTTTTTTTTTTTTTTTTTTGGGCCGGAGTTTTGCTCTTGTTACCCAGGCTGGAGTGCAGTGGTGCGATCTCGGCTCACCGCAACCTCCGCCTCCTGGGTTCAGGCAATTCTCCTGTCTCAGCCTCCTGAGTAGCTGGGGTTACAGGCACGCACAACCATGCCCAGCTATTTTTTTGTATTTTTAGTAGAGACGGGGTTTCGCTATGTTGACCAGGATGGTCTCGATCTCTTGACCTTGTGATCCACCTGCCTCGGCCTCCCAAAGTGCTGGGATTACAGGCTTGAGCCACCGCGCCCGGTCTATAATTTTCTTTAAGAGAGACGAGGTCTTGCTATGTTGCTTGGGTTGGTCTCAAACTTCTGAGCTCTGGCAGTCCTTCTGCCTCAGTTTCTCAAGGTGCTGAGATTACAGGTACGAGCCTCTATGCCTGGCCTGAACTTCTAAATGAAGACCAAAAACTGGTAATATTAAAAGTTGAGATAAATGTGAGCTATATTTATATTTATATATTTTTAAAAGATTAATAAAAACAGAAAGATATCCAATTTTTAGTGAATCAGTGAGCAATGGTGGTCATTGCGGTGAAGGATTAAATCTAGCAATAAATATTTTCAAAGCAAACATTGTCAGGAGTACCTCTGACCACCTCCCAATTCAAAAATAAACACAAATGTGGCAGGCTCATTGAGAGTTTCTGTACTGCATCATTTATTTTTGTGCAGATGTACGATTATTGGACACTTTGTGCATTTTTCTTTTTTTTGAGATGGGTCTCACTCTGTCACCCTGGCTGGAGTGCAGTGGTGTGATCTCAGCTGACTGCAACCCTGTCTCCCAGGCTCAAGCGATTCTCATGCCTCAGCCTCTCAAGTAGCTGGAACCACAGACGCGCACCACCACACCCAGCTAATTTTTTCTATTTTTGGTAGGAGCAGGGTTTCACCATGTTGCCCAGGCTGGTTTTGAACTCCTGAGCTCAGGCAATCCATCTGCTTTGGCCTCCCAAAGTGCTGGGATTACAGGCTCAAGCCACCGTGCCCGGCCAACTTTATGCATTTTTATTTTGCAATAATTTGTCTTCCTTCATTTGTTCATTTTCCAACTCCCTTATTCCAGTTGCGGGCCGGGCTGGCTGGAGCCTATCCCTGCAGCTTAGGGAACAAGGCAGGAACCAACCCTGGATGGGACACCCTCCTATCGCAGGGCACACTCACGTGTGCACCCACATTCACTTGGACCAGGGCAATTTAGAGATGCTCATGAATGTAACATACACATCTTTGGGATGTGGGTGGAGACTGGAGGATCTGGAGAAAACCCACATGACATGGGGAGAATGTGCAAACTCCACATGAACAGTAGTAGCCCAGGCTGGAATCATTTTTCTTTCTTTCATCAATATCATGAAACAACGTTGAATGAAATGACATTATTCAAGGGCCTACCTTTTTTTTCCTTCTTTGAGACAGGGTCTCACTCTGTGGCCAAGGCTGGAGTGCAGTGGCATGATCACAGCTCACTGCAGCCTCGACCTCCCAGGCCCAAGCCATCCGCCTGCCTCAGCCTCGTCAGTAGCTGGGACTACAGGCATCCACCACCACGCCCAGCTAATATTTTGTGTTCTTTGTAGAGATGGGTTTTCACTGTGTTGCCCAGGCTGAACTTGACCTCCTGGACTCAAGTGATCAGCCCACCTCAGCCTCCCAAAGTGCTGAAATGAAAGACGTGAGCCACTGGCCTGGCCGACTTGCTGTATTTAAGTCTACAAGATCCCCCCAACAAAATTTGTGGGTATGGCATGATTAATTAAAAACATAAGCGAGCCTTGAAGACGCTTATACAAGAATCATAAAACAGGAGGCAGGAGCAGGCGAGTCAGGAAAGCAGCATGAGGTAGGTTCAGAAAGATGGGGCTAGAGTTGGTGATACTTACATTGTTGACCAATCGGTAGAAGTCTTGTGACATGGGTTCCCCATTAGGGCATTGAGACAATAGGAATGGCACCTGCCAAGTTATGTGGGCTGTATGTGTCTCATCTTATTTAAGCCTCACACCTAACTTTACCTGCTCAGGTTTCCAAAAGGGAAGTGAATGGACTAATTCGGGCTAAAAGATGCTAGGTGCTGATATTTTTGGATCTGCTGGAGGCGTTAAGTATCAGCTGTGTTTCTTGATTCCTTTTTAGTTACCGCAAGTTACCCAAATATAAGTTTCCTGTGTCGGTAAGAGACTGCTTGGTGGCCACCATCCACTTCCTGAAGTCCCTACATGCATATGGAGTGGATCCAGCCCGGGTTGTGGTCTGTGGCGACAGTTTGGGAGGGGGAATAGCCACAGTGGTTTGTCAAAAACTTGTGAACACGCCCGATTTGCCCCGGATCCGGGCTCAGATCCTGATCTATGCCGCTCTCCAAGCCCTGGATTTTCAAACCCCTTCCTTTCAACAGAGAAAGAACATCCCAATGCTCAGCTGGAGTTTCACCTGCTACTGTTTTTATCACTATCTGGATATCAGCTCCTCCTGGCACGAGGTCATCATGAAAGGCGCCCATTTGCCTGCCGAAGTCTGGGAAAAGTACAGAAAGTGGTTGGGCCCAGAAAACATCCCAGAGAGGTTTAAGACGGGCTACCGACAGAAGCCCCACGAGCCCGTGAATGAAGCTGCTTACTTGGAACTAAGTATTGTCTTGGATGTGATGTGCTCGCCCCTGATTGCAGAAGATGACATAGTGTCTCAGCTACCGGAAGCTTGCATCGTGAGCTGTGAGTATGATGCCCTCCGGGACAGTTCACTGTTGTACAAGAAGAGGCTGGAAGACCTGGGAGTGCCTGTGACCTGGCACCATGTGGAGGATGGATTCCACGGAGTGCTCAGCACCATCGACATGAACTTCTTCTACTTCCCCAGCTCCACGAGAATTCTGAATGTGTTAACCCATTTTATAAAGGGACTGTGACCATCCTTCTTCTCTGCCGGTGCTGCAGTGTGGATCCCACAATCATCCAGCCTCCCTCAGGACTCTCTGTTGCTGATTTAGGTGGAGCATAGTGAGGATAGGGAGCAGATGGAGGTTGCTGTCTCCTTTCTGATCTACGTTCTAGAACCGCACAATGTCCAGAGGACGCCGTAGAGAAGACAGGTTTGCTTTGCAGGTGGGAGTGGGGCTCTCTGTCTTTGGCCTCTATTGGGAAAACCTGGGCTGACAATGTACAGTGGCCATTTGTGGGAGTGAATCACAGGTAAGGACTGTTCTCAGCCTCCCTAAGGGGCAGTTCAGACTCTCCAGATTGATCCAGACTGTGGGTGACTTGTGTCCACTTGGCTAGACCTTGGAATAGCGCAAGAGGATCACATACAATCTCACGGGGCTTTCCCCAGCTGTCTCAGAGGCCGGAGCTCTGATGCTCTAGGCTGCTGGGAGGTGATGGTGATGGTGGTGGAGAAACCGGCTTTCACCCACCTTCTCTTCTGTGAACAGTAATGACTTTTCCTGCTGTTTCTCAGCCCCTGGGATCAGAGTCTTGACTGCCTGGGCTGGAAAAGCTAAGACAGAATCGATAGAGCTTCCACAGTGGTTGGCATCTAGCAGTGAATAAAGACGTCTTGCAGCTGCCCGACTTGGGGGGGCTCTGGAGCTCCTGGAATCAAAGCCTGGCTTCCAAGCAGAAGCCCGAAATCAGTGTTGCTAAGAGTTCGAGAAGAGAAGCTGGGAGGGAAGTGGGGTCCGGAGTCAGAGACCCGTGAAGGTTGAGTCTAACTAGATAACCCTGTCCACAGTGCAAAGTCAAGACAGCCAAAGGGACAGAAGATGTTTTGGTGAGAATGATTTCTTTTTTAAGACATGGAACCAACTCAAATTGACCTCCATCAGAAAGAGAATGGATTGGCTTAGGTAGCGATGTATGCTAGGCATCCATCAGGCATGGTTTGATCCAGGAACTCACACAGTGCCGTCAGCTGTCCTGTCTTCTCTGCTCCGCTCTTCTCTCCTCTGTGTTAATGCCACCTTCACCTCTCCATACGGTGGTACTGAGCAGCTTCATGCTTACCTTCTCCCAGGGTCAAGTTCATTATCATGGACTCGCCTCATTCTCAGCAGTCTCAGCAAAAACCTTATTGCAACTTGATGGCTTTGTTGGCTTTCTGAGCAACATGTCCAGTTGCCACAGCCAAGGGAATGGAATGTTCTAGCTGACCATTCCCAAGTCCTATGTCATCCGGAAGTGGAGGGTGGAGTCAGTTCACCTTGGTGCTTGGACTAAGCATGAAGTGGTGAGTGACAGCTTCCCTAATCGAAGGGTAAATTATAGAAGCTAAACTGAACCCTCAGGCAGGGTACGTGGAGGTGGCAAGAGATGTCAAGGTCCACTGGGCAAGTTGGCCAGCTGCTCCTTAGGAATGAAAAGTCATTTGAAAGGAATGGTCCGGCTCCCATGCTGGCCCCACCTGGTCTTCTGGAGGCTCTGATCTTGGTTAGTGAGTGGTCTTTACAGGCCAAGGTCAAGGCAATTGCACAAAAAACCCTGTGGATGCCCTTAACTTGCTCTCAGTTGAACATTTGAGCTGAACTATGAGGCAGAGAGGAATCCCGTAGGGTGGCTCCTCGCTTTGTTCACAGTTGACCGGAAGATGGTTTGTTGGAGAAATAGGAATCATCCCCTGAAAACACACACCGTGGTAGCCACTCGACTGTTGAAGATCACTGGAGTCCAAGGGGCGAGGCCTCCTCTGAGACAGGGCTCCGAGTTGAGAATGTTCTTGTTTCTCTCCTGGCTCTGGAGATGTGTAGAGGAACATGAACTGACCTTCTGGGAAGCTGGGGTGGCAAGGAGTTGCTGAGGCACTGCAGGGCCGTGCCCAGCAGAGAGGAATGTATAACCTTTTCAGAGGCTGAGAGCGCCCCTGATTGGGCTCTTGCCCATGGCAGCTGCCTTCTGCAGATCGTGGGACAATCAAGCACTTTCACCTAATGAAATGATTTTGGGACCCAATTCTCCACCCGTCTCCTTTGCCCCATCACCACTATCCTTCCTGCAATCCATCCATGAGACTCAGTGAGTGAAAAAGGGATAGGATTGAATGTTCACCGAGGGCCAGCTACACGCTAGGCACTGTACTGGGCCATTTAGATTTGCCACCTCCTACATTCCTCGCATTAATCCTGCAGAGTAGGTACAGACACACCTATGGGATACTGCAGCTTCAGTTCCAGACCACAGCAATCAAGCAAGTCACATGGATTTTTTTTGCTTCCCTCAGTGCATATAAAAGTTACATTTTCACTATATTGTTGTTTATGAAGTGTGCAATAGCATTATGTCTTTAAAAAGCATGTACATACCTTAATATAAAAATACTTTGTTGATGAAAAATGCTAACAATCATCTGAGCCTTCATCATTGCAGTAGCCTGGGCTGCTGCTGTCTCTGTGGCGTTTGCACACTCTCCCCGTGTCTGCATGATTTTCTCTGAGTTTTCCAGTTTCCTCCCACATTCCCAAGATGTGTATGTTACATTCATGGGTCTGTCTAAGTTGTCGTAATCTTTCTGCTGGTTCGTGGTCTTGCCTTGATGTCGATGGCTGCCCAGCGATGCAGGTGCTGCTTGCTGAAGGCTGGGGTGGCTGTGGCAATTTCTTTCTTTCTTTCTTTCTTTTTCTCTTTTTCTTCTTTCTTTTCCTTCCTTTCTTTTTTCTTTTCTTTTTCTTCTTTCTTTCTTTCCCTTCCTTCCTTCCCTTTCCTTTCTTCCTTTTCCTTCCTTCCTTTCTTTTTCTCTTTCTTTCTTTTTCTTTCATTTTTTACAAGTGAACATTTATTTTTGTGCCTTTTTTCTTAATGTGTATTTCAAGTCTTTTTCACAACAAGGCCCCAGGAATCTCCAGATTTCAGTTATGTCCCTGGGCTTGGTTGACTGCTGCAGGAGTCTTAGGGAGCCTTGTACAAATGCTAGAATTACTCATGTACCAACATAAAACCCTAGGATAGAAGATGCAGCAAAGCAGGACTCCTTCCTCCATGGAATGTGCTGATTTCCGACAAGGCGGCAGCCAATGTAGAAAACGCTGGAACTTTTCCCTGGAAGTGGACTGTGATGAGAGGTGCTCGGCATGAACATAAGCTACTGTCATTTCTTTTTTCTTTTAAGATGGAGTTTCTCTCTTGTTGCCCAGGCTAGAGTGCACTGACGCGATCTTGGCTCACCACAACCTCTGGCTGTGGCAATTTCTCTTCTTTCTTTCTTTCTTTCTTTCTTTCTTTCTTTCTTTCTCTTTCTTTCTTTTTTTTTTTTTTTGAGATGGGGTCTCACTCTTGCTGCCCGGCTGGAGTGCAGCAGTGTGATCTCAGCTCACTGCAACCTCTGCCGCCCGGGTTCAAGCGATTCTCCTTCCTCAGCCTCCCAAGTAGTTGGGATTACAGGCATGAGCCACCATGCCTGGCTAATTTTGGATTTTTAGTAGAGATGGGATTTCTCCATGTTGGTCAGGCTGGTCTCGAACTTCTGATCTCAGGTGATCCACCTGTCTTGGCCTCCCAAAGTGCTGGGATTACAGGCGTGAGTCACCGCACCTCAGCCCTCAACGATTTCTTAAACTAAGACAACAATGGATTCGCCACATCAATGGACTCTTCCTTTCATGAAAGATTTCTCTGTAGCAGTTGATGCTGTTAGATCGCAGTTTACCCAGAGTAGAATTTCTTTCAAAACTGGAATCGATCCTCTCAAACCCTCATGCTACTTTATCAACTAAGTTTATGTAATATTCTAAATCTTCTGTTGTCATTTCAACAGTGTTCATAGCATCTTCATTAAGAGTAGATTTCATCTCAAGAAATCACTATTTTTGCTGATCTGTAAGAAGCAACTTCTCATCTGCCCAATTTTGTTCATGAGATTGCAGCAATTCAGTCATCTTCAGGCTCCACTCCTAATCCTAGTTCTCTGGCTGTTTTCGCCACGTCTGCAGTGACATCTTCCACGGAAGTCATGAACCCCTCAAAATCACCCATGAGGGTTGGAATCAACGTCTTCCCACCTGTTAATGCTGATATTTTGACCACTTCCCATAAATCATGAATGTTCCTCATGGCATCTGAAATGGTGAATTCTTTTTAGAAGTTTTCCAATTTACTTCACAGAGATCCATCAGAGGACTTGCTGTCTATGACAACTATAGCCTTACAAATTGTATTTCTTAAATAATTAGACTTGAAAGTCAAAATACTCCTTGATCCATAGGCTGCAGATGGATGTTGTGTCAGCGGGTCTGAAGACGACATTAATCTTGTACGTCTCCATCAGAGTTCTTGGGTCACCAGGTGCCTTGTCAATAAGCAGTAATATTTTCAAAGAAATCTTTTATTCTGAGCAGTAGGTCTCAACAGTGGGCTTAAAGTATCTAGTAAACCATGCTGTAAACAGATGTGCTGGAATCCAGGCTTTTTTGTTCCATTTAGAGTGCACAGGGAGGATAGATTTATCATAATTTGCTTAATGCAGTGGCTCATGCCTGTAATCCCAGCACTTTGGGAGGCCCAGGCAGGTATATCACCTGAGGTCAGGAGTTTGAGACAGCCTGGTCAATATGGCAAAACCTTGTCTTTACTAAAAATACAAAAAATTAGCTGGGCATGGTGGCGGGTGCCTGTAATCCCAGCTACTCGGGAGGCTGAGACAGGAAAATTTGCTTGAACCCGGGAGGCGAAAGTTGCAGTGAACCGAGATTGTGCCACTGCACTCCAGCCTGGGTGACAGAGCAAGACTCAGTCTCAAAAAAATAAAAATAAAAAACATTTAGCATAATTTTTCAGGGCCCTAGGACTCTTGGAATGGAAATGCACATTGGCTTCAACTTAAAGTCACCAGCTGCATAAGCTCCTAACACGGGATTCAGCCTGTCCTTTGAAGCTCTGAAGGCAGGCATCAACTTCTCCTGTCTAGCTATGAAAGCCCTAGATGGCATCTCTTCCAATAGAAGGCTGTTTCAGCTACGCTGAAAACCTGTTGTTCAGTGCAGTCGCCTTCATCAGTCATCTTAGCGGAATCTCCTGGATTCAGCTTCCCCATCAGCACTTGCTGCTTCACCTTGCACTTTTATGATTATGTTACGGAGATGACTTCTTCCCTTCAACCTCGTGAACCAACCCCTGCTAGCTCCCTCGCTTCCCCTTCCTCCCTTCTCTCTGAGCCTCCGTGGAATGAAAGAGTTAGGCTCTTGCTCTGGATTAGGTTTGGTTTACAGGAATGCTGCGGCTGGCTTGATCTCCTATTCAGATCATTACATTTTTCTGCTTGCCGGCCATAAGGCTGTTTTGCTTTCTTATCTATCATGTTTCGCTGGAGTAGTGCTTTTAATTTCCTTCAAGAACGTTTCCTTTGCATTCACAAGTTGGTTAACGGAGGTAAAGAGAGAGAGCTTTTGGCCTGTCTCAGCTTTTGACATGCCTTCCTCACTAAGTTTAATCATGTCTAGCTTTTGATTTCAAGTGAGAGATGTGCAACTCTTCCTTTCACCTGAACATTGAGAGTTCATTGCAGGGTTTTTAATTAGCCTCATTTCAATACTGCTGTGTCTCAGGGAATAGGGAGCCCCTAGGAGAGGGAGAGATGGGAGGGTGTCAGTCAGTGGAACAGTCAGAACACACAGAATTTATTAAGTGTACTGACTTATATGGATGTGGTTCATGGGGCCAAAACAATTACAGTAGTAACATCAAATATTACTGATCATAAGCAGGTATGACGGTGCATGTTGTGGTCACAGCTACTCAGGAGGCTGAGGTGGGAGGATTGCTTGAACCTAGGGATTTGAATCCAGCCTGTGTAACATAGTGAGATCCCGGTCTCTAAAAAAATTTTTTTTAATTTGAAAAAGGAAACAAGGCTGGACACGGTGGCTCACGCTTGTCATCTCAGCACTTTGGGAGGCCGAGGCAGGCGGGTCACCTGAGGTCGGGAATTTGAGATCAGCCTGACCAACATGGAGAAACCCCGTCTCTACTAAAAAATGCAAAATCAGCCAGGTGTGGTGGCACATGCCTGTAATTCCAGCTAGCTACTCCAGAGGCTGAGGCAGGAGAATCGCTTGAACCCAGGAGGCGGAGGTTGCAGTGAGCCGAGATCGCGCCATTGCACTCCAGCCTGGGCAACAAGAGTGAAGCTCCATCTCAAAAAAAGAAAAAGGAAACAAAAAGAAAGAAAAAAAAATCTGAAAAGGACTTGCAAAACAAACAAACATGACTAACTACAGATCTCTGATAGAACAACAATGAGAGCCTTTGAAATATTGCATGAATTACCAAAATGTGAAACAAAGACACAAAGTGAGCTCACGCTGTTGGAAAATACTTCGTTTTTTACAAATTAAAAGTTTGTGGCAACCCTGGTCAAGCAAGTCTATCAGTATCATTTGCTGTGGCTCACTCCTGTAATCCCAGCACTTTGGGAGGCCAAGGTGGGTGGATCACTTGAAGCCAGGAGTTTGAGACCAGCCTGGCCAACATGGCAAAATCCCATCTCTACCAAAAATATAAAAATCAACTGGACATGGTGGCATGTGTCTGTAGTCCCAGCTACTCGGGAGGCTGCGGCGTGAGAATCGCTTGAACCTGGGAGGCAGAGGTTGCAGAGAGCCGAGATGGCACCACTGCCCTCCAGCCTGGGTGACAGAGTAAGACTGTCTCAACTAACAAATAAACAAAAATAATAAAGTGTCTGCAAAGCACAAGAAAGCAAAGTATGCCTGTATTCTTAAATCCACTTTATGGATGAAAAAACTGAGACTCAGAAATCCTCACTCACAGGACTCTCTTCCTGTCCCTTTCCAGTCAAGCTTGAGGCCAGCTAGCTACGCGGATTGCCCAAGTCCACACGGTTAGCCCCTGTGCTGTTCCTTGAAACCCCGATGGCCTGACAACGGCTTTCCCTGCCGTGCCCCGCGGCCCACTGGCCCGGGATTGCAGCTCTTTTCATTCCCATCATGCGGAATTAAAGTAAAAGACACCGTTGGGCCATGTCATCTTATTTTCATTTCCCATCCTGCTAGTTCTCAGCTACCATCTGATCCTTGTCAGGTTGATAAAGTCAAGTGTGTTTGCTCTTTGGTTTCCTTTACTTTCTGAATGACTGTGGCGTTGGTAACCATAGGCCCCTCCGGAAAGGCACAGCTGAGGTGCCCAGCTGACACCGCTCAGGGGAGGTAGCCACTCACACACCTGTGAGCCCCTATACTCAGGAGTATGTTCTCAGTAAATCCCCAGGGCTTCCCTAGAAAGACCTACCAGTTAGCTCAGGGCAAGCACCATTCGATGTGGGGAGAAAAATTAACTGGGGAGACGGTTGTCTTAGAAATGAGAAAATAAGGGCCGGGTGTAGTGGCTTGTGCCTGTAATCCCAGCACTTTGGGAGGCAGAGAAGGGTGGATCACCTGAGGTCAGGAGTTCGAGACCAACCTGGCCAACATGTAAAACTCCATCTCTACTAAAAATACACGAAAGCATTAGCTGGCCGTGGTGGCACACACCTGCAATCCAAGCTACTCAGGTGGCTGAGGTAGGAGAATTGCTTGAACCTGGGAGGCAGAGGTTGCAGTGAGCAGAGATGGCCCCATTGCACACCAGCCTGGGTGGTGACAGA